AAAAAATTGGAAAAAGTGTGGTGTTCTAAAACTTTTGACCGGTAGTGTATATATATATATATATATATATATAAATCAGCACTGATACGTGAGGGATTTCTGCTGTCCATGTTCTATCTGTTGTTGTGGAACACTTAATATAATAAACTCATAGAACAGTTGCAATATAAACCTACTGCAAGTGTTGTGTTATTCAGATTCTGGCAACTGTTGGGTTAAATCTGAAGGATTTGTCTTTTACATGGTCAGTAGCTGACAGCACTGGATCACCTGCATCCTGTATGCACTTTGATATGGAAACATCAGGTTCTGACAAAAGCTACAGAAGAACAGCAGCTCTGTGGAACCAGAACAACATGAAGAAGGAGCGAGAACTCAGAGGTGTCTTCTGTCAGCAGGATGATTATTGATTCTAACATATTTTGCTAAGTAGGTCACGGCAATTTAATTGAGCTCAGAGCTCAGAATTTTGACTATTTTACAGAATCAGTTCAGAATAAACGCTTTATTTTTGGATAGTTTTTAAATAAGCTATTTAAAATTAAGGAATTTGGTTGAAATATCATGATTTTTGGTTCACTTTCCAACAGAACTGCACAGGTGAGTAGTTCAAGCACTGTCAGAGAGTTAATGATTGTTTGAAGATAACACGTTTTAAACCTGTTCAGGTAGTTGAAGTCTGTTCTACTGCTGTTGCCTCTGTTCCTGAGATTTGGTGGAAGATGAACTGTTCCCACAGAAACATGATTTCTACACTTTCTAGTCAGAGGAGTCGTAGGAGTCTTGGTGGTCTCCCTCACTAGTCTCCTTCTTGCTCCAGTCTCTGAGGACGTCCTGCTCTAGTCAGATCTACTCATGGTCCATAGTCCTTCCATGTCTTAATGATGGATTTAGCTGGTCTCCAGAGATATTCAGTAACCTGGAAATGTTCTTGTATCATCCTCTGAATGATGCGTCTCAACAACCTTTCCCAGAGTTCTTGGCGTGTTCTTCAGTCTTCATGGTAGTTCTATCCAGGAGTACTGATCCATTAGTGACTACTGTGGGCCATAGCCAGTGCCAAAATAACTAATAAACAGACTACAACTCTATCTATCTATCTATCTATCTATAGCTCGTCACCTGGTCGTCATGGTAACCTCCCTCCCTCCACAATGTGACCAGTGGAGCACCTCGGTGAAACCTGAGCAGGTGTGGCGGCTCGTGGTCACCTGAGCCGAGCTGCTTCTAAATGTTTGATGGAGGCTGAGGGATCCTGTGAGCTGCAGGATGAACACCTGAACAGGTAGACGCTCGCTCACTCTGAGAGGACGCCGTGCTCACAGACGCTCCAGCAGACAGGTAACTGCTCTTTAACTCACCTTTCAGAACTGTACAGGTACAAACACTGAGCCCACCTGTGTGATGTCATTGTTTACAGTCACACGTGTGGTCTACAGTTGAAACCAGAAGTTTACATACGCTGTATAAAAACACACAGAACCTTTTCTCTCACCATCTGACATTAGATCAGACTAAACGTTTCCTGTTCAGCTCAGTCAGGATCACCAGCATTAGTTCTATCTGCTGAACACCAGAATAATGAGAGAGAGAATGTTTTTTTACATCCATGTCCTTGTTATCTGCTAGCGTTGCCTTTAAACTCTATGAC